ACAATGGCAATTGGCAAAAAAATTGTCGGTCAAGAAACACGTGATTTACGTCAAATGTATCATTATTTCGATTATAATGCATGGTGCGATGAATTAAATAAAAATGATGCAAATAAAAAGAAAAAAGTAAAATTAACAAAAAAAGAATTAGATGCAATAAAAAGACGAAAAGAAGAAAAAAAACGGAAATTTCGTAGTAAATGGCTACTAGATGATTAAGCTATTGATCTTGATGGAAAAATATTTGCACTAAAGATTAAATTAATTCGTCTTTTTCAGTCGAAAATGAACGAAACTGTCATACGAGAATTTGCTAAGATACCATAGATCTCAGCTTATGATTAGGCAAAATTCTCAAAATGAGTTTATTTTCATTTATCGGTTTCTTGTGAATTCACTAGTTCCACTATCTATGCTAGCTCTCTGTAATTTGCATCCGGAGAAAAACTGTTGCTATGTAACATGAAACATATTGACGCTTAACTATCAACTGTATTCATTAGTCCTTTTCAAAATTTATTTATGATTATAATTGTACATGTAAGTTGCTTCAAGCATAATTTTCTGTTGTCTGTCTCCGTCGGTTTTGACAATGGTAGCATAAACTTCAAAAAGACAAGACAGATGTGGGCAAGTCCAAGCCTGGATTTGTTGACGGACTTGGATTTGACTTGGACTCGAGGGTTTTTTATTAAATCCGTTTGAACTCTAGTTATGAGATTCAAGAAAGAAGTTAGTGTCATCTTAAACGTAATTAATTCTCTTTTCTTGTCATACATGTATCTAATGTATAATAATGACTGGTGTATATAATTATGGCATTCGTCAACTTGGTTATTCACTGGGATTTTTAAGAACATCGAGTCTCACTGAGAAATAAGACGAGTTTTGGAAAAACCAATAGCTGATATTTTAACAGTTATTGTAACTTTATATGCCATTTTAATTAGCCGATTCAATTCAGGTGTATCAAATGAGCATGAATGATACTATAACAAGCAGTTTAAGGTCTTCGAGAGCCTTTCTAGAGATTTTTCAAAATTTTCAGTAACAGCTTCTCTTCTTGTCGTAATTTTTCGATGTGTAACATAGTTTTAGCTTCTCATCCCCAAACGTGTTATCGTCGCTATGAAAAGTTTGTACCTTTAAATCGATGGTATCTTAACTTCAGTTTTTCTTATTACATTAAACTATTTCTCAATGCTTTCATTTATTATGTTTCCCCTTTCTTTCTGTTATTAGTAATTTCAGTTCATGTAGAATTGATGATAATTCTCGACTAATAACGTTTAATTTGTTGAACAGTGAGAAACATCTTGATGAATAACGACAGATTAAAACCTTTCAAAACTCAAACAACATTTTCGCTTTTTTATGTACAAATGATAGTTCAAAAATACAACAAGTTTTAAGTAAAAGAAGACAAAAAACACGAATGGCCTAACTGAGAAATAAGACAGATACACTATCTTAACATTAAACTTGAGCACCACTAATAAATATCACTATCGCTCATGCTTTCATACTGATCATCATCACTATCGCCACTATTGTCACTTATAAAATACATATCCATCTCATTATTATCGCTATTACTCACTTCAGTATCAGTTCCTGATTTAGGCATCACTTTTCCACCATGTTTTGTCACTTTATCATTCACAATTTGTGCATAATTTGGATCGAAAAAATCATACGTACAGTAATTAATCAATGTCAACGGTAATATAGATAATTTTTTTACATCATTTGGATATGATTTAATACGATCTTTAATGACTAGACGACACTGTTCTTTAAGACTGAGTTTTGAATGAAACAATTTGTCGTACATTTGGTTCAATGATAGATTGCGTTTTGATCGAATTTTTTCAATAAATTTTTGATTATGTGTTATTTTGTATGATGAATGTAAATGATGGAGTAAAAAGTTTTGAAACACCGGATCAAAACACGTAGCACATGAAATAGTAGTTTCAATAAATTGTTCAATTCGCATACGTTTTTCTACTGATGATAAATCACAAAATAAATCTTCTATACGTAGACATGCCAAAACATATAAACCAACTGTTGTATGAAGAAAATAATTGCGAGAGAAACTTGGTAATGGATGTTCAAACACTGAACTCGACAGCTAGAATAAATTTCGGCAAAATTTGTTAATGGTATTAGAATTGTGTAGTCCTATCATCATTATCCAAAAAATAATTTTATATTACTAATGTTAAAACCTAAGCATTTGTTGAAAATTATACGACAAAGATATTGAATTAACTTTTTATCAGTCACTCAGGTCTTACTGAACAAAATAGATTGTGGATGTGAGCAGAAAGAAAGAATAGTGAAAACATTCGCTTGCAAGTACAAATTAAGAAATGTTTGCTCAACTCTCCTCTCTCTTTCCTCTTCCGTAATAAGAAAAATGACATAATATAATTTGTTTATTCAACAAAACCAACTCCACTGTTAGGATGGACATGGTATGCAATTTATTCATTACTCACTTTAACATCTTTCGAAACAAAATAATTGAATAATTTCAATATTCGTAATGTACGATATTTGCTTGTTTCATTCGGACCAAACTGGTCTTGTTTATGGCGATTTCTTGATGATCTTGACAAATGAACCCGTACATTTGCATTCTTGTCATCGTTCAAATAGAAAAATGCCCGCATACGAATCAATACATCAAATAGTGTTTCGCTTTCAGTTGTCAATTGATTGAGGTCATATTCTGGAAAATAATTTATAAATAAGGATAATTTTTCGGGTGTATCTATTTGTTCATACAATAAAGTTGGTTTCAATCGTTTTGACGGTTCATTATCAAAATAAAATTCTTGTCCGTGCATTTTCAAACGACACATCAACTTTTCCCAATCGGCAATATGTAAAAAATCTGACGATGTTAATAAATCAGTAAAGCCCATCTAAAATATTCATAATTTATACATGCTTACTTTGAGATTGGACAAAAAACGTAGTCGCTACTTTAGATCGTATTACTTACATAAATTAGATTCACTTTCATTTTTGCCGGCCAAGATTTGCACAAAGAACTTAAATCAGATGTTATATTTGTACAAACTGTGAGAGGAATCTGAATATTATTTGATGATAAATAACGATAAAACTAAAATCAGAAAAAAACGAATCATCATTATAAATAAGAGAAATGGACAATAAAAATGAGAAATTAACGTAGTTGTTTTAAAAATAACAATAAAACGAAGAGCAAAGTTCAGTATCTATTTTATATAGATTCGATTCTTGTACAAAAAGCTGTAGATTATTCATTTGACAATGGTCACATGGACCAGGATTTTATTAGAAAACGGAATTAAAGCTCGAAAGAGATCGGTTGTCTATTTATGATTAATGATTGCAGTGAATAGAGAACGATCAGAATTAGAAAACGGAAAAGCCGATAGGAGAACGGTTCGGAATTCTGAGTAGTTCAATAGTCTCAAATGAAACCCATCTAATCATTAATTGTTTGCTGTTTACTAATTCGTTAAAATGGTAAATTATGCTCTATATATAATTGACATTGTACGCAAAAAACTAGAGTAAGACCAGATTTTTGTGGAACTCCTCTGGATACTTTCCAAAGGAAGGAGAGGTGTAAGTCATATACTCAGAACCCAAGCGTTTTTACTGTTTTTCTTTCCCTCCCACAGGTGTAAAAAACCGTCGATAATCGGTTAATCGTTTTTTTTCTATTGGAGGTCATTCATCGTTTTTTGGTTACGGATTACAAAAATGAACTCGACAATTAATAGTCGAGAGAAGTTTCACATTTTAGCTCCAGATGGGGCGACTGTGACAAGATTTTTCGGTTTATCACGTTTTTTTGTCCTGAAGGTCTTTTATGGTAGCCGAAGCAATTACAAGTTCAAAAATTTTATGTTTAGATGTGCTTTACAAAAGAATCTGTATAAACGATACTATATGAGTAGACTCCTGTCACGTTTTAAAATGACTTAACGATGCGAAAGCATTGGTATCAAAACAATTAATCCAGTCTTAAATATTCAATACTGGATGAGCATTATTTCGTTGAGAATATAGTTGTCTTATTATTTACGTATTGATGTGTAAATATGATGGAGCGTACATATGTTAAAATCCTACTTTAGAATGTATACATAAAATGAAAAATTATCTCTTTTCAGTTCAATTCTATAAACAGGATAAATATTGAATAATTCGCGCTTCATTCTTCATTCAATCCAAATTCTGCTCTCTTTTCGTACTTTTTCTTGATTACTCATATAATCATTCAAATTCTCTCCTTCCTCCTACTTATATGAAAAACACGCACTAGCAGAAGTTTCACAAATCTTTTTTCTCTTGAAATTATTTCTTGTTTTTCTTACTTACAGGTAGTGTTTGTGTCAGCTTGTTCTTTAATAAATTCAACCATATTTCCGAATTTTCAATATTCAGTTTATGACATATGCTAACGATATAATAAAATATAGTTAAACAACAATTGTTGATATCTGTAAAAGATGAAATTAAAAAATTTCGTCTTGTTCCGAAAGTTTTTCGAGTTAATTTTCCTATTCCTATGAATGATGGATCTTTTAATTTTTTACACAATTTTGTTAAAACGTCTTTATAATCTGCTAAAGATTCTTGTGAACGAATATTTTCTAATATTAATAAAACCGATGTTGTAGCGTTGTTCAATATTAATGTACTCATTTCTTCAATGTATTCATCAGATGTTTTCCAAGATTTTCGTTGTGTTGTGTGTATTTGTTGTACATTGTTCCTAAATGATCGATTCGAACCGATCGATCCACGACCACGAAAATTACCTAATAGAAACCAATATAATAGAAAATTTTTAATAAACCGTCGAATCAGGAACACTTTTTTACAATATACTCACTCATAGTGGAATGGTATTCTTATTGTTGTTTATCTTATTTTTTTTAGAAGTTAAGTTGTTCTAAAATAAAAAAAAGTACAAACTTATTTTCTTTCAAATCTGTTCACAAAACATTATCATCAAAAATCAAAAAAAAAATAGAAAATTGAGTCCAAACGTTATTTAACTCGAGCGATTTTCTGAAATGTCGGATTATTTATCACAAATTTGCCTGTCAAATTACTAGTTTTTCTCTTGATACACTTCAAACTTTTTCCCATCGTCGTAAATATTTCAGACTTGTATAATTCTTTAGAATTTAGCATCGCTTCAATGCTCTTTATATTGTTCAGTATCCTCGTTATTCTTCTTTACGTTGTCACCATTCCAAGTATAGTCCTTTTCCTTCTGTTGTCTACAATTGCTCGGCACAAAAACTAGTCTTCTTTTTTTTACTCTGCAATCGCCTACTCGAATGATCTTCTACAGTCGATCATTTGTTGTTTATCGTTGTCTCTCAACAACCCTCTTTCTAAACTTCTCTTTTATGTATGCTAAAAGTTAAGCATGTTCCTGTATTATCTGTTCTTTTTTCAGTTACCTTTTCATCTTTTTATTTATTAATCTTTTTTTATTTTATTTCCAAATTCATCTCTAGTTTTTCATTTGTTCTCTTTATCTGATTTATGATTTGACATGAGTCATCGAGTTAACGGTCGGAGATATCTAGTGTTCTGTCACGATTCTTAAATAAAGTCTAACAATCTTAGTCTTCTCCAACAGCATTTTTTATTCAAAAGAATGACTAGAGTAAGGTGAGATAATTATAACCAAGCATCAACTTTTTCTTCTCATTTTGTCAATGACTATGCTCTTTCCAGTCCGAGGAAAATGATATTGCACAAGTACGTACATAAGAGTTTCAGTTATTTACTAATGTAAAAATTGTTTGGAAGTTCGTTACCGTTAACTAGTACCATTCAATTTTCAGTTCGTTGCTATTAAATAGTTATAATTATCCCAGTCAACGTGGAATTGTCCGTTAATTAATTGATTAAACTTTATTCTAATTAAAAACATTCATTTTTTTCAATATATGCAAACTAAGGTACTTATAACTCCTCCATTCAAATCATGCGTAAATTAATTTCATATGATTCCAGAGGATAATCTTCATACTGATGAAATGATAAAATATGTTCACCATTATCATCGTTATGCATTATTTCATGTGTCATGAAAGGAAAAAAACGTTTTCATAGAACATTTGTGCAAAAAATAAAGATGATCTATATTTAACAGCCCTTTTATTGTTAATATTACTCTTACAATTAAATTACAAGCTTAATTAGCCGTAATATTAAAGAAAAGTTGAACTATTCATGTGCACTAAAGTATCCTCTTTACGATACACCGAAAATATTTTCAAGCACTTTTAACACCTGGTATCCAACAGTGAACATGATCATGCACAAGATAAATATGAGTGCATACATAATGTGTGCACTAATTACATCGTATAATTACATCGTATAATTCTACGTTCCCAGGTCAAAGAATCCTATTGTAAGATCTTATAGTGAGATTTCATCACATTTCGTAACATTCTTGTATGAATTTTATAAGATTTTATAAGATGAATCCGTTTCTATGATTTTTCGTGAGATTTTGTAAGATCTTCATCTGATTATTTGACCTGGATTATATTCACGCATATTTTATATAGTCAAAAATCAAATACCTTTTTACATAATTTCTAAATTAATTTTCTCAATTTCTATACAAAACAGTATCTAAAAGATCGTACATCTACTTTTACACATTAGCTTGGTGTAATTGAAACATAACAGGGCGACCGATCATATCCACAGTTGAATATTAGACGTTAAAAGTATTCATTTGAAAAAAATTTTCGCGCATATTTGGTGGTGGGCTACAAGACGAACTAATAGATTTACATGCACTCCAGTCGTTTTTGCTGTGGCGATTATAATTACTCCAACGACGTACGTTGCTTGGGTAATAGTAGTATTATATATTCACGAAAAGTGGGTCATCAAAGGTCCCCGATCTGTAATAACAATGACTCGAATCAATAAAATAACAAAGACAATTTGATAAAAGAAAACTAGAGTAATGGACAGAGACAGATCAACTAAACAAATGAAAACAAAGTAAAGAAAAAAGTAAAAGAAAAATTAAAAGAAAAATTAGCACGGGTATCGGTTAACTAGAAATATGGAGGTACTTTACTGTAAGAGATATAGAGATCAGCGTTACCGATTAGGGGTGGAGATCCATCCCCTCGTTTGGATAAAGTTACTAAACAAATTTTGACTTACTCAGAAATTTTTTAAAAAATTTAAGTCGAGAAACTGCCTTTTATGCATCCGAGTAAGCCATTTTCTCTAGCTTCTGAGTAATTCATTTATTTGCTGGGAAACTGGTACTTATGCACCTGAGTAAGTGATTTTTAAATACTTTGATGTTTTAAGCTAATCGATGACTGTCAGACTTCAATTACCTTTAAACATGCAGTTACTCGGAAAGAAATTTTAGTCAAAAAATGCGTTACTCAAGAAAAAACTTTAGTTACTCAGCAGACTCTCCACCCTCCATCAAAACTTCTATCAAAAACGATGGTAGAGATAGAGCTCTTTTAAATAATGATAAAGAAGAAAAACAAATCACTAATTCTGGTAATTTATTCCAGTCAGTGACAGTTCTATAAAAACGTAATTATAACCATTTAATAGCAACAAACTGAAAATTGAAGGATACTAGTTAACGGTAACGAACTTCCAAACAATTTTTACATTAGTGAATAACTGAAACTCTTCTGTACGTACTTGTGCAATATCATTTTCCTCGGACTGGAAAGAGCATAGTCATTGACAAAATGAGAAGAAAAAGTTGATGCTTGGTTATAATTATTCCAACTTACTCTGTATACAAAAGAATCATAACAACAAGAGTTTCATCATTAAATGTAATAATAAAATAGTGCGTTCTTGTTCAATTGTGGAGCTTACTTACTTCCTTGTTCCACATTTTCAAAACTCGTAGGGTCAATTCCACACTTTTCTTCAACTAATCAATGCTCGTTTCTACCATCCGGTACAGCATTATGGTAACTCAATAGATGGCACCTAGTGGACAAAACATGTGCAAAAATAAAAAGGCAACATAGTGGAACGAAAAACATTACGTTAGTTTTTGTCTTTTTCGAGATTCAGTGAACTGCTTCATAAATAGTAATTTCTCAAGCCATAGTCGAAAGAGAAAAGTTTTTTCAGCATAGCGGCGACATCTAAAAGATCTATTTTTTCGACGAATAAGAATTATCTTCTCGTTTTTTTTGAAAATTTGACGGCAGCCATCTTTGAAAGTTGTATTGACCGGCTACCAGTAAACTAAAACAAGATGTTGAGCATGCTTTCTCTCTCTCTTTCTCTCTCTGTTTTTGTTAAACTTATCTTGTATCAGTATCAGTAATATTTGTTTATTTATTGAATGAACTTTTCTTTCTATAGTTAGTTCATTTCGAGATTTGAAGTACTTCAGTAAGAAGAAAATTATGTATTTGTTCTATAATATACACTTTTAGTTTTCAAACCAATAAAGATACCCTGGCTATGCTAAAGTTTTTCATTCGATAATAGCACTTTTCGGCATCAATCTCTGAGTGGTTCTTCTAATTACGATAAGCTTGAATTACCTTAAAGCGGCTTCTTGACCCCTTTTTATCGAGAAATATGTAGCATTCATCATTCTGATAGGCACTTTTTCGTTTACTTAGAGATTCTTAAAAATAAACGGACGTATTTAGCATAGTCTTTCTTCTCGCGTTGTAACTTTTAGTTAAAATTGTAAAGTGCATTTTAACAGATTACGGATCTCTAGTTGTTTTTTGATTTATGGATTGTCGAGTAAAGTCATGTGGCTGCAAGGATCTAATCTCACACTCCGATTATATACTTAAATTTTTTGTTTCTTTCATTTTAGTTTATTTTTACCCGTTGATTAACGATTAATACATGATGCGTGTGTGATAGAAAAAAACTATGTTAAATACTGAAAACGAAGTAGGAAACCATTTCCCGAACCAGAACAGAATGCTGAATGGCGTTCGATCATTATCCTATAGAGTTTCCGCACCTGCTGAACATCAGCTCTCACAGCTCCGAATCAAAATTTTAAATGTAAAATTACCATCATCAACAAAACTTGTGGATGTTTGCGTTATTCTTGAAGTAGACTCAAAATATAGTTATCGAACAGAAATTATTAAGAAGAAACATAGGCCATTATCACAGATCACCTCTTCCTCCACAAGTAATGCAACGATGTCCACAGTCCTGAACAGTACGAGTCCATCTATATCAGCAACCTCCAATACTTCTTCACACCCAACAGTAAATGTAAATGAAAGTTTTGATGTTTTGGTGACAAATAATTCAAAAATACTCTTAAAAGTGATCGCACCAACACGTTTATTTGGAACAAATGATATTGGACAAGTCAAATTCGATATAAAAACAATTTTAAATGAATACCAAATGAAAAGACATACATTCCAAGAAACATCTCCACCGTCCTATAAAACAGAATTGCCGTTAGAAAATAGTTCAAGAAGAACAGCCGATCATTTGAATAACAGTGGAACATCTACGACAGCTAGTGAACGTGGATCAATTGAAATTTTGCTACATGGTGCTATATTGAACGAAAGTGAGAATACTACTAATAATAGTAATGAAACCGCTCACATAGAGAATAATACATTATTGAATAATACAAGATCATTATCCATTTGTCAACAGGTACGAACGAAATAACCATGTCAAAATAGATAGAGATGAGAAAATCTTGTCATTTCTTCTTTCAGGACCATCCTCAAAATTCACTGACCACTTCAAATCGTCAACTGTTAACTTCGCTAGAAAATCATTCAATACCTACAGAATCGGCAGTGCTCAACTCTCCTATTCGACATCCACAAAATCAGTCGTCTTCAGCTGATGCGTCACAGCCATCTCGGCGAAGTATTCTTCTTAAGCAACCTTCTGCACGAGACGTTGATACTGGGACTGCATCACCAAGACGAGGTTCAGGTTCGTCATCCTCCGATGCTGTATCAGGTAGCACCCGTTCAAGAAGACACCATCATCTACCGTTAAGTCGACCAACAAGCAACACTCCAGTGACTTCTAGTAATCTGCCCGTACCTGCAACTACTGCAGATGCTTCTTCAATATCGTCAGTAACTCCAGCACAGTTAGCAAGAATCAAAGAAACTTTACCGCAAGGATGGGAAATACGTTTGGATTCACAAAATAGGCCTTACTATGTCGATCACAATACAAGAACAACCACATGGTTGAGAGAAAATGTTCTTCCACCAGGATGGGAACGACGTGTAGATGCAAGAGGAAGAGTTTACTATGTCGATCACAATACAAGAACGACAACGTGGACGCCGCCAACTGCTCTTCATTTGCAAAATGTTGCACATTGGCAAAATCAATACGCCAGAAGTCATTCAATGTTTAATCAGTTTGAACATCGATTTTTACCACCGACAGCAGGCACAGGAGCGATCGCCATATCTGGATCTGAAAATCCACTAGAGAATGCCGCACCAGCAATAACGGAAGAAGACATTCCATTGCCACAAGGTTGGCAGCAGATGTTCGATATTCAAGGCCGTCAGTATTTTATCAATCATTTAAGCAAGACGACGCAATGGGAAGATCCTCGAAAAATGAATACTGGAGATCAGTTGCTAAGTGGTTGGGAAATGATATATACGAAGGAAGGACAACCGTATTTTGTTGATCATAATACCAAAACTACGACACTTCAGGACCCAAGGCTGAGTGGTTTAGATGTAAGTGGAAAGATAACATGTTGCAGTAGCTCGTTTACTACTGTTTATTTCTGTTGCTCATTAAGGCATCGAATTCCCGCCATGGTTCAAGAATTCCACTATATCAACGTAGTTTACCATTTAAAATTGAACAATTTCGTTATTTGTGCAACACAAATATCTCAAGCGGGCAATTAAGATTGACCATAAGACGAGAACATTTATTTTACGACTCATACACTCATATTATGCACTGTCAATCGTCAGAATTACGCCGTCACTTATACATTGTTTTTAAAGGTTTGCATTTTGTTTGTAGGTTGAGAAAAATCCTTATTTCTTGTTTTCTTTTCTATAGGTGAAGAAGGTTTAGATTATGGAGGAGTTGCACGTGAATGGTTTTTTCGTTTATCACACGAAGTTTTAAATCCAATGTATTGTTTATTTGAATATGCAAACAAAAATAACTATTATTTACAAATTAATCCGGCATCCAGTATAAATCCAGATCATTTGTCGTATTTTAGGTGAGTAAATTATACCACTGTGCATTCGCTTTGTAAGTCACAATACTTTATGAGCATAACTTCATTAGAGATAAAAACTGTCATTGATGCATGTGCTACCCATTTTATAATCACATTTATTTCAGATTTATTGGTCGTTTCGTAGCTATGGCTTTGTATCATGGAAAATTTATTGACAACGGTTTTTCAATGCCGTTTTATAAACGTATGTTAGGAAAAAAATTAACAATACTAGATTTAGAATCGTTGGATCCTGATTTTTACAATTCGTTAACATGGATTAAAAATAATAATTTAAGTGAAAATGATGATTTAGAATTATATTTTAATTCGAGTTATGAGCTACTCGGTAAAGTTGAATATGAAGAATTAAAACCAGGTGGAAATGAAATTAAATTAACTGAAGAGAATAAAGAAGAATATATTGAATTGTTAACACAGTGGAGATTTAAAAGAAGTGTAGAACCACAAACAAAAGCATTTTTACTCGGATTCAATGAAGTATGTTTCTTCATATGCTCATCTCCAATGTTTTTCTCTGGCTTTATTTTATCAACTAGTAATTCATGCATTTTGTTCAGGTCGTACCATCACAATGGATTCAAACATTCGACGAAAGAGAGATCGAGTTATTATTGTGTGGAATATCCAAAATCGATGTAGGTGATTGGGAAAGAAATGCAATTTATAAACATTTTACCGAATCATCAAAACAAGTTCAATGGTTTTGGCAATTTGTTCGAGAAATAACAGATGAACAACGTTCAAGATTGCTACAGTTTGTAACTGGCACTTGCCGTGTGCCAATTGGAGGCTTCGCTGAATTGTTAGGTAATTTTCACTTTTCTATCTATTACAGTTGTTTAACTTCAAATTGCTCTTTCTAGGTTCAAATGGCCCGCAGAAGTTTTGTATTGAGCGTTTTGGCAAAGAAACAATGTTGCCGCGTTCTCATACGTGTTTCAATCGATTAGATTTACCGCCTTACAAACGTTATGACCAATTAAAAGAAAAATTACTTTATGCTATTGAGGAGTGTGAAGTAAGTTGAACATATTATTTCTTCGCTGCATTCTCCTACAATATAACTCTCTTTTGTTTTAGGGATTTGGTCAAGAATAATGAGAGATACTGATGGAATTTGCTTTATTTGTGTTGAATGAATGTTTACTTTATACTTTTTTTGTTTTTTTTTGTTGTTTCGACGATGTCTTTCGCGAGTTTGTTTTTTTTCCTTATTTTATAGTCTAATTGAATTTTTTAATCTACAAGTACGACTCCAAAGCTTGGGGTTAGTGATGAGGAGAAAATTCAAATTAATTTTACTGATTAACATAGCTGAAGGCTGCGAACGATTCTCGTTTATTCATCTAGTAATTTTTTTTTCTTTCTTTTAATCGTTTCTCATTGTTGTGTGTGTAAATAAGACAAACATATTTTTTTTAATTTATTCTATACATAACAAGAAATAGAGTTCACTGCAGAAATTTATAGTTCTGAAAATTGCTGAAACTTTTCACTTTTTCTCTCGACATCATTCCGTCACCCAGTACGCTTAAATAACTCACTATTCTCGGAAAAATGAATAACGCTAAAACACCTGTATAAAGAAGTCAATTAGTTTTCTGTTTGTTCTATTCCACATGCAAATTCCATACACTTCATAAGTCTTTTCGCGCTTGTTTTATATGGTAAAAAAGCCAAAAAATTACATGGGCATCAACATTCCGATGTATGTTATACGAAATTAATACACATTACTTATTATATTTATTCTTCTTGGAATATTCTCAGAGCAACTTTTGTTGCGAAGCCAATTGGTCTAAATCAAAATCATATTTAAGGAGTAAAACAAAAAAAAAAGTAAAGAAGAAAACAACGTTTAATCTTTCTCGAATATTATTAACCAATAGTAGTTATGACAAAAAAATGCTTCACAATTTTTTTAAAAAAAGGATCAAAAAGAACACTATCAAAAAGAGTAGAGAATGAAATATGGACGATAGGTAAATAGAGAGAGAGAGAGAAAAAACACACATAGAAAAACTGACACAAATATATCTTGAATCTATTATATACTGTTTTTTAATATCTTCTGTTAGAAAAAGGTATTGACAAAAAAAAGTAATCTGACAAAAGAAACTATCATTCACACTCTATGGAGTGTAAAAAATATCACAGAAGGTGTGGAACAGAATATGAGAAATAAAAACTGAATAAACCATCATCAAGAAACAACATATTTAAGAAATTAAAAGTTAAAAGGATTTATGTTCATATTTTCTCCGTTATCTATAACAAATAAAGCATAGATACTTTATGAATAAAGAACGGTAAGCAATTTCTGTTGAAATAGATCGAACAGAGTTTTGCATGGATATGACTACATTATACAAAAATTTAATTTTTGAATTTTTATATTGATTTTCGACAGATATTACAAGTCAAAAATAATAAAAACTTGATTGAAATTTTTTTTCATTTTAAGTAAAATTAAAAAATTTCGAAAGTTTAATTGAATATGAGAGATTTTACCGAGAGAAAAGTATTCAAAGAAGCAGAAAAAGTAGACTTGGAGATAATCAAGTAATTCATCACGAAGAACGAAGTTTAAAAATGTTATAAATCAAACAGTAAAATGTTGCTAATTATTTTGAATCAAAATTCTGTTCGACTACTTTCAACAGTGACTTTTTCTTCTTCTCGTAAGTTCGTACAATACGATGATGAGAAGCAGAGATAGTTTTAGACAATATTCTGTCACTTGTATACAAACACGAAACAAAATTGTAGTCATTGCTTACGTGCTGTTATCAGATATTTTTCGGATCTTTTACACTGGATAATAACTCAACAATTGAATTTAAGCCATTTTCTTTCGCATAATCCAATGGTGTACGGTTCAAATGATCAAAACAATTGATTTTTGCTGAATATTTTAGCAATTGTTTTGTACAGAGATAATCTTTATTGAAAACAGCCAAATGTAGAGGCGTCAATCTAAAGACAGAAAACAAACATTAAAACACAATTCGATTCATGTAAAAAAAGGTTTAAATCTACTTTTCATGTTTTGTTTGTAGATTAATAATGAACTGTATGGAATCTTTATGGAATGATTTTAATATTGTTTTCACACATGATAAATGACCTTTCAAACTAAAGAGAGAAATTTAAGTTCAAACGAAGAATCAGTAAATCATTCCTTACTAACCATGCAAGATGTAACGGTGTGATTCGACTTGTTTTCCAACATAATAAACCAAACTGACCAGATTCAATTATAATTCGAACAGCGGTTTCATGACCTTTAAATATGATATAGAAGTTACGTAGATAATAATAGAATTTACGAGTTTGTAAACCTACCTCGAAATGCAGCATAATGTAAAGGACTAAATGCGTATTCATCCCCAACGTCTTTGTAATCAAACTAAAGAAAAAGAAGAATAACACGAATAATATCATCTCTGTACATTAATTGTGTAAAATATTAAAGAAATAGAAAATTTGAACCCTATGGGTGTTCTCTGTTCATAAAACAGAGTATAGAAATGGCTTAACCGGATACAATATTTGTTTATCTAACGATTTGTAAGTTTACATGCATCAATTCATATTAGAGATGGAATCGATTTGAACTCATTACTATATATGAAACATGGATTAGACAAATCAGCGTCAAAAAACAGGAACCGATCTCACCTCTAGTTCATATTTATATTTTCTTCACTCAATTTCAGTAAACCGAAGTATGAATTAGATTTTTTACAACCAAATCAACTATCAAAAATAAACAGATATTACTTCGAGTAGTGTTGATAATATTGTAACGTTTCCATCAGCATAATGTAATGGTAATTTTTTTTGTTTATCAACTATCGATGTTATTGTAAGAAGTATATGTTCATTTTCAAGTAATTCTTGTAAACATTCTTCAGAATTTAAAAGAGCCTATAAAATAGAACAAATTGTTGTTCGATATTATTGTTATGAATCCTATAAATATTTATACTTACACAATAATGTAATGGTGTTAAACCATTTTTATCGCCAATATTTAAATTACAATCAAATTTTAATAAATGTCTTACACAGGTTGGCGAAGCTGATTCAACGGCATAATGTAATGCAGTTCTAAAATAAAATAAAAAAATTTAGACATTCAAATATTCTAACAATAAATGATAATTCATTCAATAAAGAGGAAAAATAATTTATAATATATTGCTCTACATACTTTCCAATGGTATCAACTAGATCGATAACTGTTGATAGTGTATTATTCAGTTGTAATTCATGCAAAAGTGTATGTAAACATTCGGTATGTCCATTTTGAGCTGAATAATGTAAACATGTTTTTCCATCTATTGTATTTATTTTACTAACATTCGCTTTTCTATTAATAAGAATATTAATACAACTAATATCTCCATATAATGAGCATAATTGTAATGCTGTATAACCATCCGATGTACACATGTCTACTTGACCAGAAAAATAATTATCAATTAAATATTCAAAAATAATATCTTTTCCATAGACTGATGCTAAATGTAATACATTAAATTCTTGTTCTCTATTAATATTATACGAATAATATGTTGATAATAATCTAAGTAAATTAATATCATTTTGAATAACAGCATATGACAAACAATCCCATCCATGTTTAGTTCGAATAGATGGATCACTACCAGCTTTTAACAATTTTTCAATAACATCAGATGAACAACAATAAACAAATGCATAATGTAATGGAATTCCTTCAAAGTCAAAACATTTCAAATTAACATTTGCACCTAATTTTAGTAGAACATCAATTGAATTTAAACCATGCCAATCGACACATGAATGATGTAATGGAGATAAACCATAAATATCTTGTTGATTAATTATATTAACATCATTTTCTGTAAAATGTTCTTTTATTAATTTTGTATAACCAATTCCTGATGCAAAATGAATTGAACATCGACCATAATTATCATTTATTCTTAATGATTGTTTTGCTTGTTCAATAAGTTCAAATTCTTCGGATGGTAATAAAATATCAATAGTCAAATAATCTTTTGCTAATAATGCTGAATGTAATGGAATTAAACCATCACTATTTTGTTGACATAAACCATTCGGATAATAAGAAACGAGTTTAGATAAAATGCATGAACGATTTGATACGGTCATCAATGAAGTACATAAATGTAATGGAGATAAATGATCATTATCAACTATGCTGGCATCAACACCTAGAATATACAACATACAAACATTTTTGATAAAAATTTAATTCATATTATACATACCAGCATTGATTAATTGAGAAACGGCATCGATATTATTATGCGAAACAGCTAACTAAAAATTCTAATACATAACAATTCCGTTAAAAAAAGAAAATCTGCCTACATGCAATGGTGTTTGTCCGCGATTATTTTTTACATTCAACAACGTTTTTTCAAGTGTTAATATATGATTAATAATTGTAGAATTAAATGACATTGTACACGCAGCAAAATGAAGTAATGTCTAAATAAACAAATCTTTACTATGTAAACGTTTTATTTACTTTCACAAACTTACATTTCCAATTAGATCTGTATCATCCAGTTGTGTTCGTTTTTGTGATCGATTTAGAAGAATATTTAAAAGATCAATATTTCCGAAATATGCCGCATAATGTATGGGCAGAGCACCACTGGTTGTTCGAACATCAATATTGGCACCTGAATCAATCAATTTTTTCAAACAATCACTATGTCCATTAAATGCACATAAGTGAAGTGGTGTTATGAGCTAAAATGGAAAAATAATTTTATGATTTAAATAAAAGTAAAAATTTCAAACAAGACTTACATTATTATCCGTGCAATTTAAATTCACTTTATGTTTTCCATTGAGTAATAACTCAATTATTTCAACAAAGCCTTTCTCGCAAGCATAATGAAGGGGACTATTACCAGTTTTATCTTGTAAATTTGGATTTGATCCATTGGATAGAAGAAGAGAACACATCTAAAATGAACTCAACTTTGTTTTAAGATATATATATATATAAATATACACATACTTCAATATTGTTGAAAAAACAAGCATAATGAAGTGGTGTTCGTCTTTCTTCGTCACTTGCATCAATATCATGAATACGTGGTAGAAGATGAACGGCACAAGATGTACCATTTGACGATTGGGCACATATATGAAGTGGTGTTTGATAATGTTTATTCTGAGATGTGCAATCGGCTCCATATTCAGTCAACATTTGAACAATTGTCTATGAAGATAATTAAATGAATCAATGCTTCGTATAAAAACGGATTAAAAAAAGGGTACAAAACTATTATAGAAATCTGTGGTTGAAGACTCACTGAAGTCCCGTTATGTTTTATATTAGAAAAAGTATGTGTCAGTGTTGACTGCCTTTTCTCCACATCACAAAAAGTAACGAAACAATTGCAAACTACTATCGTTAAGTGACAAAATGATGTTTAAACACAAAACTGTTTTTTTCTCAAACATTCGCGAAGTTCTAAAAATAATAATTAAGCTTCATCAATGGTAACTTTTATCACTAACCCAATAAAACAATAGAACTGTTAGTTAGTTAGATAGTCCTGGTTAGATAGTCCGGTTAGATATTCCTAATTAAATAAAATCTAACCGGACAGTTGAATAGCTTTTTCTTACTGAACAATCTGATTTGCATGCATAAAATAACGGTGTTAAAAATCGCTTGTCTTTTGCATTAACATAGCAGCCATTTGACAGTAATATATCACAAGTTGACTCACGTTTGAAATAAGCAGCAAGATGAAGTGCTGTTATTCCATCATTATCCTAAATGCATCAAAATGTATGTAATAATCCATATCATCGATTTTTTAATACTTGAGGCGCAATGGAGCGCAAGTGAAAATTGCACTGCAATTGTGCATATTTATACTGGTGAGAGCGCAGGATCACACAATTGTGATTGCAACAGCACATTTGTCCTGTCACGAACGCAATTGTGTGCAATTCGTCCGCATTGTGAGATCATGTTGTGACCGCATTGCGGCGCAAGTTTATCGCACTCGAAAAGATGGGAAACACTCTAAACACGCAAATGAAATTTTCGTACCTGTGTATTAATATCGTATCGTTTGTCAATAAATGATTTTACAGCTAAAAAATCATCGTCAACAACGGCATCAAACAACGGCGACTATAGAAACAAAGTCAATTAATTTGCTATATATTGAGCAAAAAAAACATGCAAAAAATAAATCACTTACCAACGGTAATAAAAAGGATGACTTTGTGGGTTCATTAATAACGAATTTATTTTCATGATTTTTATTATTAATATCAGCGAACCACAACTAAATAAATTAACGGAGGCTTCTGTTTATGTCTAAGGAACAGTGTATGAAGATTCAGCTTACTTTCATTTGATTTGACATCATTGTGTGTGTATAGACAGACATTGTTTCTTTTTAAAATATTATACTCTGAAATCCACTATGTTTAGTGAACAGATATACACGATGGATGAAAACGGTCAAAATCGATAATTAGACGAAAAATGCAGTTTGTTATTTCATGAAATCTTTAGACGGACAAGTTCTGCAGCTCGCTTTTTCTATTAACGTAGCTCTATTTTGTGCGTTATTCGAATAAACTTGGCAATACCCATTGCCAAATTCTCTACATGACTCGTCCCACCAAAACGAGAAAATTAAAAAAAATGCGTTTTCTTCCGTTTTTTCGTACTAAAACACAGGTTAAAACGCGTTTTTTTATTTTCTCGTTTTGGTGAGACGAGGCCCGTATAAAATTTGGCAATGGGCAATGTTTTAACAGCACGATGGACAAGTGGATTTGCAACTGTAATTCACCGTGAAAAAGTGACATCCAGTCATTTCAACAGTGACTTTGAAATTTCCACTATGTTTCTAGCTCAAAATCTGATTATGAAGTGAGTTTTGATTGAATTGCCAATTCCAACTGTAACATTTCTACTTTGACGTTGATACTCCAGTGCATAAATCCGCCATGACAAAAAGCTATATTAAGAGCGTTATTCAGCAGCCAGTTTCATTTGATCATTAATAATGTATTGTTTGATCAGTTCTATGTTCATTATATACTTTATAAAACCAGTAAGTTTTAAAAGTAAGACGGAGAGATCCGAAATTTTTTAAAATCATATCAACGTGAAGCAAAAAATAAGGTTCATTTAGAGTCGCAGAAAAGTGCTTTTTAGTATAATTTTCGCAAGTTTGGGGCTTCAGTCAGGGCTTACGTTTTATCATATTACAAAAAAACTTAAGTCATGTGAAATATGGTCTTAAAGTTAAGACCGAAAATTTAAGTCGGACTCAAGTCATTGACGCATTTTTCGAATAGTTCAAGCATGTAATGATACGTTCGGCGAAAACGACTTTTTAAGGTTTAGAGAATAAATATGTTGTTATTTTGCGGTTTTTTGTCCCATGCTTGTCACTGTTGTCAACGACTTTCAAAAAGTAAACAAATCACCAACTAATTTCTTCATAATACGGTTTAAGTCTCTGGACTTAAGTCGATCTTAAACTTAGACTTAAATCACGACTTAATGTAAGTCGATGACTTAAGTTTTTTCTCATACGACCCCTGGGTTATCGAATGTGCTGAATACGAAAAAGCACTTTTCTGCGACTCTCAATGAACTTTATTTTGTTCTTCTTTTACAAATAAAGCTTAAACCAACTTTATTTTTCTTTGGGTAATACGGTTACAGAGTAAAAACTGAATTTTGAGTAAGATTTATAGTTTTGTGTGCTGTTTCTCGCTAGAAGCTTGTTATGACTATTGCATAAAATACGTTCGATGCTATCTATTATAAAATAAAGCTTTTACGCGGTATACCATATAATGTAGAATATGAAAGTTTGCGCTAGACTATCTTATAACAACAAATATCTCAGAATTTGGCGACAGAGTAGTGCCTCATGGATGAAAAAAGATTCTGCGTCAAATGTCGTTTATTTTTCTTCGATCCACTTTTTATCCGTCTTAAAATTTCCTTTGTATTCGATGATCGTGAACCAATACTACTGAAGAGTCGTCAAAATTAAGAAATCTTAATTAAAAGAGAAAATAAAGTATTTCAAAAATGGAATAAGTATTTATCTTCTGCCTAGAGAAAATGTGTCAAACTTGACACACATAGCTTTTTAGTAGTAATAAATGGTGACATCTCGTCAGTTACATCGAATTTCACAGGTCGGAGATCGATTCGTACTAAAGATACATGTGCTAGCTTTTTAATGTGGTATTATATTATTATTATGTTTTTTACTAAACGTGAGTGAAATGATAAAATTCAATAATTCATTTATATTAAATCATTTAATAATACATATTATATTAAATTCAACAGAAAATTATACAAAATGTTAAACTCATTCTACAATTCGATTTATTTAGAGCAATAAACTGCATAAGAGAGTTCATACAGATGTAAAGTTTTGAACTATTTTCTGTGCTGTTTTCTAGATCAAGTGATATCGTTTAAATGTAAGCCTGAATATTGTTTTGTTTAATACAAACGATATGATTTTCCCATGGTACTTTTCAGATACAACGCACGTACATGATGCCAACGTTTTCGCAATAATGAGATGAGAAAATTAATTGCCGTATTAATATTTTCTACCAACTGTTGACTGTTCATAGTTACATTCCCAACAGCTACATTTAACGTTGACGTTTTCTTTAATCGAAACCTAACTGTTGATTTTAATTGTGCAATTTTTTCCATTAAATTGTCATCATGTGTAATGAGTGTTGGAAATTTGCCCGCCTTTCCTAGACCGGGCCCTAACAGTCTGGGTATCTGACGAATAATTGTATCAGATGCCAAAAATACATCATATTTATGCTCTAGTTTTTTAATTAATTTTTTGTTTTTATTTAATCTTTTCAAGTCATCAACAGACATATATGAAATATTGTTTGCACGTGCTTCATCACAATGACGTTCATCGCCATAAACACAAACGCGGTATTTTAATTTTGGAGCGTTGCGTAGACGAATGTTTCCACTGAAACGTTTTTCACGATAAACATCATAATTTTTTAATACAACTTGTAATTCGATCGTTTCAATAAAATTTCGCTTCTTTATTTCGTTCGAATCAGTCAGTATATTTTGAGCGATATTAATTAGCAAATCCTAAAGAAAAATAATTCTGAGTTTTCATTAAATGAATATAACAAACAGCATCACGATACTTTTGCGATTTTTGTCATTTTGTTAACACAAAAGATAAATTTTTTGTATTCTATAATTGTAAAAAACTAAGTTCTTCTTTCTCTTGTTATAGTTTTATTCAACCTTTTACGTAATCCATCGGTTCTCTTACGCAATATTTTCATTCCGTTCAGATTTTTTAGCTCTGAATCAGTTATTAAAAGAAAAAGCTTGATGTAAATAAGGAAGATTTCTGTTGAGAAAAAGTTAGAATAGTACGATAATTAGATAGTTTTGACTATTATAAATATTTAAGTGTAGTGTTACGATGAACAGGAAGAGATTACTGCCACTATCAAGTGTACTCCATAAGTTCTCAGCATTCGGAGGTTACTTGAGTGACCTCTGAAAGCATTGATAATGATATTCAGTTCCGAACTGATAAGAAGCAAAAAACAAGAAAAAAACTTGTGGAAAATAATTTTCAATTTTTTCAGAGCTAATTTAGAGTCTAGCCCTGATAAAATTCCATATTCATTCTGATTCAGCTTTTCAGACCGAGCTGATCGTCGACTAGCAAGTATAAGACACAAGAACATTGCCATTCTTTTGTGTATCAGTAATTGCACAATAATGAGAAATTACCAAAACAAGAATACAAGCTTCAAGTTTTCATTTTTTTCCAGATGAATTTACCTTGTTACGATTAACAAGATATTCGTACGAAACAGCAGTCTCTATAGTGCATCGTTGCGTAGAACGCTTTAGTGTACTTATTTTAAGAAATCTAAATGCAAAATTGTCTATATAACTTAAAGCAGGACAAAAATTTTAAAAAATCTTTAAAAAGAAATTTTCTCTTATGTGACGAGTAGCAGTATGTTACTTCTAAGAGAATGAATATAGCAACCGTCTTGTTAGTTCATTTCTCAACATTTCTGAGTAGATTCCGAATATTGTATTTATTCTGAGTAAAGTTCAGTAATTGAAAACTGCTAAAGACTTTTTTTGATCAATCACTACAAGTGACAATATAGCTGAGCCACAAACAACGACACAGCCTAAAACATTAGTAACATTAGTTTGTTAATTGAATTTAGATGAAAGATGCTTAGTGATGACGATGCTGCTTTGCAAATTTCTCAACATTTAAAGATCACCGTAAAAGAGCGAAGTAAAGAAATCAAAAGAAACAAATAGGAACATGAATGAACCAAAGTTTATTATTTCTCTGAGATCTCTTATCTGCTTATTCGAATAAAAAATGCAATTATATTGTTACACGATACATGTTGCAGTCGATATTAGGCAGATTTAGAATAGGAATTACAACACGTTTCATCAAGTTATATTTTGCAATATTATAGTGGGTTTTTTATTCCAGAAACGAAAAAATAACATTTTCTTACTCTGCTCATGGCTTTTACATTATTCTGGTATTCTAATATTCTGATATTTTGTATTGTACTATCAGTCGATAATATTGCAATATGTGTGTGTTAGACTACGACTTTTTTCCACGTACTATTGCGATGTTGCGACCTGCTATTTGAACTTAAACTATTTGCACCATTTAGCGAATTCTTCAATACTATTCGATGTAACATCGATAATTCTTCTTGCAATGTCAGTAAACAAAAAATGTCCTTCTGCTCCCTACCTTGGTCTGTAATGTCACGGTATCGCACTGCCAAACTTTTCTTTGAAAACTGACGTATTAAAATGAGAATGAAAAAATGAGATTTAATGTTTTATTATGTGATTAAATCTCATTTTTTCATTTTCATTTTAATACGTCAGTTTTTAAAGAAAAAGTTTGCCAGTGCGTAGTGTGTGCCAGAAATAAAATATCCTCTAAATTCTAAAACTGACACTCACATATGCAAATAAAACATTGCAGCAAATATATTCAAATGGTTTTAGGTCTTATTAATGAATTTCGCTAAAAAATTTCAGTAGAAAGGATATTTGTGGTCGTTTCACTTTGTTGATGTCACCCATATCAGTTTTGAATGGAGTCCATCTCATTTCATCGCTAATCCCTAATTTCTCATTTAAACTGTGACAAACTCTATATGATTGAGTATACATATCGTACTTTCTGTTCTTTTTTCATACATTGTCCATGTTGAAATAGATATCGTACAAATAACAGTATTTCAATTGTTTTTTATATTTTAATGAAGTGATTGCGCATTATTTATCGTTTTCTTAAAGTACAAAACAAATTTTTGTCTCATTTCTCAATCACATTTTTATTTGCATTGAACAGAGATGTAGGAAAGTAGACAAACATTTTACTCAATATCCTTATTTCTTTTTAAATTTGGAATAAGAATGAAATAACAACCGTGACAAGTAAGCAGATTTTTCAAAAGTGTTAAGGCAATAGCAATCAGTTAAAGTATGCCAATATATTATAAATGTTTAGTTGCTATAGTCTATGTATATCAATGATGTGTGCGGTGATTTATGTAGTGGGTGGGCTGAATGGGCGGCTCCCACCCGAAAATAAACAGTTGATTTCGTTTTAGCAAAATTTTTTTAGCCAACAGCCTGCCGGAAAATTTCAATCGCTCACTCGAAAAACGAAACCCAGATAAAACACTGGATGTATGAAAGCGTTCTGATACAACGCATATATAAAAATCTTTGGAGTTACGTGCGATTTTGCGCGAAAAGTTTAAAGGTCTTAATCAGCATTTTTCAATCAAATGTGCATCCCAGACGTTCAGAATCTATCCCTAAGAAATGAAAATTTCCTCCAATAAATGTCGTAGCAAACGAATATATTCTGCATCTCCGGTGCATTTGACCGAGCTATACGTTCGTTATTTCTGAACTTTTCTTTTACCTTTGAAAATTTTCATCGAGGATGAAACCGCCGACTAACTATCGCTATCACTCTGTTTTAGTTATCGTATACTGAAGAGATGTCGATACCAACTAAAACGCCAAAATTCAAACATAATTTTGAAGGATACGTGCGGCACATGCAGCATCGTGGAGTGGCATCAAATCCGGATATTTTGAAGTCCGGGATGTCTTTTTATCCGGAAATCCTACTCGCCCGTGCAACTCCACCCGGACGTAATTTCATCCAGATTTAAAAGTCCGTAAAATTTCCGGATGAATTTCCCTCGATCAACTCGGGTAAAAAGTATTCTGTATGAATTTTTCACTTGCAATAAAAAGCAAGGATAAAATAAGTTTTGAGCCCGGAAAAAAGAGAGAATTGATCCCGGTTGCTTTAATTAACAAAAAAAAAGATGGAAATGAGCCCGGTTCAAAAAAGAAAAAATTTATCTTCACAAAAGAGAGAAATGGGCCCGGTAATTTAGATTTGTTAAATATATAAAAAAATGATCAGTTTAAGAGCATTCTTTTAAAATCAGCGCTTATATATAATCGTGATTAAAACTAAACATTAGTATGTAGTACGTATATAACATTATCAATTCAACAGCATTGTTTTAAAATCAATCTTAGAAGCGCACATATATACACACCTTATATACACATCGAAGAATTAATTGTTATTAAATTGCGTGATAATATTTTTGTTGAATTGATAATGTTATATACGTACCATATACTGACGTTTAGTCTTAATCACGATTATATATATGCACTTCTAAGATTGATTTTAAAAGAATGCCTTTAAACTGATCATTTTTTTATATATTTAACAAATCTAAATTATCGGGCTCATTTCTCGCTTTTTATACAAAAAATCTAAATTACCGGGCCCATTTCTCTCTTTTGTGAAGATAAATTTTTTCTTTTTTGAACCGGGCTCATTTCCATCTTTTTTTTTGTTAATTAAAGCCACCGGGATCAATTCTCTCTTTTTTCCGGGCTCATTTATTTTCGTGTCCAAAAAGCAATGCAAGTCCGATTGTTAATCAGTTGTATATCAGTCTTAGATGGTTAGTTAGTTAAAGATACCAATACCCAAGTGGGTGTATGGTGAAGATCACAAAAACAGGGTTATGATTTAAAAACAGTCACTTCAAATGTACTTTAATAATGAAACTACTAGTATTACTGTTATACTCTATGACATGCGGACTTGCATTGCTTTTTATTACAAAGTGACAAACTCATCCAGAATTTTTTCCCGGAGTTGAGAGGTTTTTTAAGAAACTACCGGAGTTGATCAAGAGAAATTCATCCAGATTCCAACATGTCCGGCAGGTGATTCATCCGGACATGTTGGATTCTGGATGAATAGTTTTCAGATGAGTTATGGATAGGATTTTAATAATCTGGATTTCATGACACTTACTCATACAGCATAGCACATAATAGAAACAAGTTTTTTCTTGGATGTGCACGCACACTAAATTTGCATCTGTTCTAATAGTCTTCAACTAAATTTTTATTCCAGAACGAGGTGCTACAATTCTCTAATATTTTAGTTCATTTCTCATACTCAATTTTTCTACTGTGTGTTAACTGAATAGAGCTTGAAATTCGAAAACCAGCTACTACGATTGGTCGTTATTATTCCTTATAGACTTATTTAAATAATAAATACAATTGTTGTTGCATGATGTACGAACAAAAAGAAGAAACTCTGATTCGCGTATAATATCAATATTGAAAAAACTGACAAATCAATGATTACTATTCTTCTTCTCTTTTCTCTTTCACTCTTTCTCTCTCTTTCCCTCACAAACATATTTTTTTTTCTTCAGTTTAAGAAAAGATATTTAACATCAATTAGAGTGTCGTGTTAAATTTTTTTAATCTTCAAACTAATATCTATTTCACGCATTTGATCGTCATCTTTACTACTACAAAATAAAACAACAACAGCAATAACGACATAAAAACGAGATTGACTTACTAGTTTATTTGTGTTCAATATAATTTTTAATCTATCACAACGATAAATCGATAATACACATAAATCTTACTATCAACAAACATCTATATACAGTATTGAAGGTATTAACAAAAAGAAAATTAGCTTTTTCTCTTCTTTGGATTATTTCCTACTAATTTAAATAACACTTGTTGCTCTAATGAAAAAATGCTTTTCTATCATCTAGAATTTATTGTTAATTGAAGTTTTGCTAGTCTAGAACGCTATTATCTTATTCTACTCTCATACACACTACCTTATGATTGAAGAAGGCTACTTTTAGGATATTTCGATGAGCTCATATCAAATTTTCTAACATTTTCTTTTTTTATCCATAAGAATTTCTGAGTTCGATTAGTAAAGTAAAGGAAAAAAAATTCAAAGAACGACGTTGTTTTCTTCAATTGACTTGTATGCAGGTTTTCATACTTGTTTCAGTAATATTGAAATCGCCTTTGGCTAGTATTTTTAGTTAAATAGAAAGAGGAAGAACTATGTCATTTCATTGATTACCAATTAAATTGGAATATATTATAAATACAAAATAAACCCGATACGATTGAAGCATTCTTAAACTTTGTTTTACTGAGGAGAAGATGCTCATTTTTTCTACAAAAAGAAGAGGAGATTTTGAATCGTTTCACAGCGAAACAACTAAGTATGAATTCTTGCAAACTATAACAATTACCCAAATTTCCTTTACAAGTTAATTGAAGAAAATAAGATAGTTCTTTGAAATTAGATCGCGTTAAGGATGCTACTACTAACAATATCTCATAGATAGATGGAAGAAATTATGATGAGTATATTTTTAGATGTGTTTTTGCTCGAGGAATCATAATCTCTTACTCATATAAACTCATAAAATGATAGATTAACATATATTTAACATCATTTAGTTTGCTTATCCATGTGTACCTCAAACGAAACACTGTCATATTTATCAACCACACCATGCATGTTTGATCCACATTCTTTTATTAATCACCTCCATTACAACTCTTATCAAGAAGAACCTCCAAATTATCAGCGATATCATCATCTTGGCGATGTTCGAACATGTGAAAGTCCCAGTCATCCAAAGACTGGTAAGTCAGAGTTACTGATCAAAATACATCGTTTACTATTTTGTACTTAATTTATTTCAGATAATAAACTAAAACGTGAATGTGTTAAGGATGAGGATGATGAAGACAGCGGTGAAGGGAATGATATTAGAGAACAGGTGAATGATACGAAAAAGCGTCAACGTCGGTTGCGAACGCATTTCTCAGCAACACAGCTACAGCAATTGGAAACAACATTTTCTTATAATCTCTATCCAGATCTTACGCTTAGAGAAGATCTTGCACAATTGATCAATTTAACAGAAGCAAAAGTTAAGGTGAGAATGTTGAAAAGCGATCACAAATTTGCAAGTTAGATTTTATCTTCAAAAACAGAAACTAATTTTATCAATAACTTTCTATTTTCTAGGTTTGGTTTAAAAATCGACGGGCAAAATGGAGAAAACGGCAAAAAAAAGCAAATTATTCATTGAATATTCAGCCATTAGTATATCAAGAATGGAAAGCAAAATCTCCTCCACTTTCAACATCCTATGATTCATGGACATCAACGACAACCTTCACATCTTCACCAATGAGTTCGTCTATCTATTATCCAACATCATCTAATTATTCATCAAATGATCTGCATCCATTGACACAAGCTTTACAACATAAAGCTACAATGAACGAATCATGTTTTCAGCTATACGATTCAAATTATCTTCCGTACACAAATAATACGTTCATAAACAGTTGTACTGCCACTAATCTGAATACGTGACATTTCACTTTGAAAGTTTTTTATTATTTTGTTACTCTTACTGTGATAAAATAAAATTACTAAATATTTTTCTTTGAACTGAGTATTCGATTCATATTATCTGTAAATCTTCTGTATATGGGAGTTTTATTTTGTTGAGTATAAACTAAATATATTTCCTAACAACCTGAGCACGGTACAATATCTAAAAAGTTCTCTATGTATCCGACATATATATATATATATCGAAGTTTTAGTAGTGGCCATTTTTTTGTCTCTTATATAAGTAGGAAACAAAATTTTTTTTGTGGTATCATATGAACATCAACTATAAATAGTAGTTTTGGAGTCCGATGCTAAGAAATACTATATTAGTTATTAAATTATTTCTTTTGACGTATTTCTCACTTATTTGTTGATATTATAATCTCCCTCTTTTTTTTTTGTCGTTGTTTCGACGCTGAATGAAATTGTAGTTTTGAATTAAGGATTTGTTTCGTCGATGAGAAAAAGACGCTTGTATGTTTCCGGAAAATGTCTAAAATTCTATCTATGCAGTGTAAAAAAATATTTTATCTTAATTTTATATTCATGAATTGATGATGCAATAAACTATAGTGGAATTTATAAACCGGAAGTATTTTTCACATTCTATATAAATAAATATCCATTTCCTTCAGAGGTATGTTATAGTTGATCTATATTTATATTTTGTCTTGTATTTTATAGATGATCTATTTATCAAAAATATTTTCAACTTTTAGAAGAAGTTCTTGTGGATTTAGTTTTCTCTCAATAATTTCATTTACTTGCGATCAAGTTTTGTCGCATCTTTTGTAGTCATAACATCTATCTAAGATTTTGTTCTGTGTACTGTAATAAATAATGAAATGTAAATTTTGTTCGTTCGTCCTGCATTGTATTCTGATTGAATGGTGTGACCTGTATGATGTTTCTTCAATACAATAAAGAAAAATGATCACTATTGTATTTGATAAATCCTTTAAGCATTTGTAAATGTTGAATTTCTTTCAGTCAATATTCATTCGTATAGAAAGCCTATTGTGAAAAGAACAACTAAAAAATTATACCAAACTTTAAACATACATTCAAGTCTTTCACACTTATCTAAGATTATTTCTAAACTGTACCTTTCCTTCGAATAATATGCAAAAGCGTGTTAGTGAGATTTTTGTATAAATTGAGCTCTAACGACAAATATGCTCATGTCTTTCGATGAATTAGATGATGAGAGCTTTTTGAGCTATAGCGCATATAATCACAGCTAGTATTTCGAATTATTAATGCTTATTATGGCATCAATATTTATTTTCTCAATGATTATTGTAGCAAATTTTGGTTATCACAATGTCGGAAATGTATGTGACAAAATTGATCTTGCCACAAGTTTAATTCATCATATAATTTAATATCTTTTAGTCGATCATCATTAATTCTTTTGTACATTTTTATTTATTCTGTTCTTCCGCTACCTATGACAACAAAAAAAGGAATTCACGAAACGTACAGGCACTTAAATGTGAGCTGCACATATTATTCCACTCGACAGAATACTATCAACCGTGATGCTAGAATACAATTTCGCTAAAACTCCAAAAATTAATTTGCAGTTTTTTTCACCAAAACCCCAAAGCCTCACTTTTAATATGACGTCCTCGATCGCGTTCACATTTAGATTATAACAGGGAGAGTTCTGATTCAAAAATTCGGGCCTTAGGATTTTAAAGTCATTAAGTAATTGCATCAGGATCAATTACTAATGGAACTTGAACGTTACCGACAGGCAAAGATTGAGAAGAAATACTTTCCCTAGTAGATGAATTTGCAACCAGAGTTAAGAAAGAAATTTTTGATACGATTTTCCGTGAAAAGATCGACGAAAACTTTAAAAAAGCGATTAATTACTTCAAAAAGCAACAGAAAACAACAGGCAGTAATTTCCCGGAAAAATCAAAATTTGTCATCTTGATAGACCAGAGACATACGATAAAAAATCTGCTGAGTATATGGGCGTGGCCAACCGCCATGAAGCCTCGATTTGTTTTGTTCATGTAACACCAACCAAATATGATGAAATGATGATCTTTTTACTACTGATAGTACATATATAGTGCTAATGATCTGTTATTATTTCACCTGTATATCTCACCACACAGGAGGCTTGTCAAGGGATGTTTTGTCATCATTTTGTTAAACATGCTTTGCACCGAATACGTCATACCACACTTGTTTCTAATGGAAAATTCTTCGTCTAGTAAAACGTTTACAACCAACGTTTACAACCGACCAGATTTTCCCAAGCCACTACATGTCCAAATTAACATCGAGCCACAGTTGGTACAGTATTTTCAACAATCAGTCACATCTGATCGACAGTAAGAACAATTCCATTCAACTTGTGGAGAGAACATGGCAAAGAGACGTGTTATGGGAAAAGAAGAACGAACGAGAGCGAGACGAACGAGTTATTGCGCTTTGAATGACGATGATATAACTGACACACAGAAATACGATATAGTGAATGAAATAGTATCGTGCACAAAATACGTACCAAGAACGAGAAACGTTTGAAAGGAAAAAAGAAAAAAGAATGCCTTCTCTCTCTAGTATCTCACTGATAACGGTATCCATGTGCCATGGGCACAGTGCATTCTTGAGCAAATATGCATGTGTATAATTTTGATTGCTGATTAATGCCTCTATTGATTAATAATCGTTTTAGTAATGAACTACGATAGAATCGTGAACTTCACGACAATCACAAGGCTAGCTTTGGATTAAATACACATATTATAAACGTTCTTACTAGACGAAGAATTTTCCATTAGAAACAAGTGTGGTATGACGTATTCGGTGCAAAGCACGTTTGACAAAATGATGACAAAACATCCCTTGACAAGCCTCCTGTGTGGTGAGATATACAGGTGAAATAATAACAGATCATTAGCACTATATATGTACTATCAATAGTAAAAAGATCATCATTTCATCATATTTGGTTGGTGTTACATGAACAAAACAAATCGAGGCTTCATGGCGGTTGGCCACGCCCCTTTGTTAACTTTAGAGGTGTCAAAGGTGGAATCTTAAAGTTCGGAATTAGCGATCATTGGCCGAACAGCTAGCTATAAAGTCGATTCTGTAGTCTTCAAAATTGACGGTTTGTTTCCAGTTACTGAGGGGAAATCCCTTCAGGTAATTCTCTTACTTTTACTAAAATTTTGGATAAATAAGCAAAAGGACATATCAATCACTAAGTGGTATGAATTATATGTTGCTTCTTTTTTCAGCACTGAAGATTAGTATGCTCCAACTTTCACGTTGGATTAATAGAGAAAAATATAAACCTGCTCTGCGCGTCCTCATTTTAAATAAATTGAAAAGTATTCGAAAATCGAGAAATATTATTTACAGATACCATTTTGAAGCAGATAAAATACCCAAGTCAGACAAGTCGTATACGATCGTATCTGAATCAGATAAAATCATACCAAATCGTATGAAAATCATATATGAATCGTGATATCTGATTTGTCCTGTGGATTGTATAATACGATCGTAGTGGATCATACGATTATGTACGATTTCATATGAAGGTGTATGATCGTATATATGATCCTCGTTAAGTTAGAAACGAGATCGTAAATAGCCTGTTTAATTACTATAATGGACAGTTTTTTCTTACTCCCTCCGGCACCTCTAACACTGAATTCGAGTTAATATTAGATCAAACTGAGAACGGTAGCGAGTCAGTTTGTCCGACGTCTGTTTTAGAAGTAAAAAATATCTTAAAACACTCAAAGTCAACGAACCTTCAGTCAATGACGCTATTTCTAATTTCATGCTCAAATTACTCCTACTGAGTTATGTAGAATCCTTGGTTAACTGTTTTAATGAATGGCTGGAAGTAGGAACTTTCCTCAAAACATGAATCAATACTACTCAAATGAACTGAGTTCGTTGATATGAGATCTGTTGATTAATTATTGCCCCCTATCGTAGCACGGTTCCTTGAATCGAGTTCTGCTTTTTAATGCATTCCGTTATCATTATTATACTTTCTATATTTTTTATTCTGTTTCGTTTTAAACTCATAATGGATTAACCTTCCCTGTTTATTGCGTGTTGTTTATTTTTATTGGTAACTGTTTAATTTTTTAGAACCGTACTTATATGGTCAAAATTTGGTTATTTCCCCTACCTTTGTAACAGTCTGCGGACTTAACAATAAATGAAAAATTCAAACATATCGTGGGAACAAAAAATATAAAGTTGATTTTGAGTCACTGAAAAGTGCTTTTCCGTACCAGCACAGTCGATAACTCTGAAGATTTTTGTTTTTGGCGACGGATACTTCCAAAACTTTAGGAAAAATTTTCTGACAAAATGGAGCAAAAAAGTTTTCATGGAAAAACAATGTTAGTTTGAAATTTTTCCTAAACTTTTGGAAGTATCCCTCGCTAAAAACAGAAAATCTTTCGAGTTATCGAGTGTGGTGAATACGAAAAAGCACTTTTCAGCAACTCAAGACCAACTTTATTTTTTTCCGGTGATATGCAAATAAAAAGCTACACATGTTAACATATAAACTTTACTTTACATTTAGAACTAGCTTAACACTTCACGGTTATTAAGTTTTTCGTAACTGATCCCCGTTTTACGAAACCCATTTCATTTTTCTACAAAAGTTTAACCCATGCTCTTCCTTCGATACATTCAACGTCAACAATATAAAAAAAAAGATGAAAGTACACCAAACGAATGACGTATTGAAAAGACAAATAGCTAATAGAGAGGAGAAAAAACTACTTGCAGGGGAACAAAATGCTTGACAATCACTGACAAATAATCGTTGTACAAACAATTCTAGTGAATATGCAAAAGTCGGGCGCCTATTGGGTACTTTGTTACAGTAATGTCGTAGGTGCTTGGCTTCCGCAAGCAAATATCTTTAGGTACCTCTTAAGTCTTTTTTAAGGTACCTTTGCTAGCCTCAGCCAAGTATTAAAGTACCTAAAAAGTAATTTTAGCTACCTATCCAAGTAAGGTCATAGGCCCTTAGACATACTTGGCTTACGGCAGCCAAAGTTCTTAGGTACTCGATTTCCAGTACATTCACTAGAGAACTCCTCCTGCTTATTCTGACTCTGTATTTTCCGAAGAAGCAAAAAGCGCACACAAATCAGCGGGAATTTTAGAATCTATTATTTTTATGGAAAAAAACAGAAAAAACAAAAAGTATAAATTTTCCACATCGTAGCTGTAGGACAGGGTTTATACGGCGTATAAAATCAACTGTACTTCAAGCAGAAAGCGACTATAGCCGAAAGACCTACAGGTCTTACGACGTTTGAAATTATTTCAGTTTTTCTTTCAAAGTTTCAGTTATTTTATTCCACTTTCTTACCGATATTTCACCGAATCTTTTCCGGTTTCGAAAAATTTTATACTGGTCGACCGATACAACATTTCATACCGGTTCCAACTCTGGAATGCATTCCTGAAGACAAAGACTTTAGTGCCTTTTTGTGAAATGATTAAAATGATTTGGCCATTCATTCATGCTATGCTGATATTTAGTTTATTTTTATCAGTCAAACCTTGTAAATCAATAGGACATAATGTAAAGATATTGTTGAAGAAAATTACTAAAAATACAAACAACGCGTAATTCAGAACTGCAATATAATTGACACTTTTGCTGCTGAATTTATGTCTGAGAGAGTAGTTATCATCACATGGTTATACTACAGAAGCTTCTCTGACAATTTGAGTCATTTCAATTAGACCGATCCCAAAAAGGATGTTATAGACAATATTTCTCACACGGGCGTCTGTCTTCCAACAATTTAAATGTATTAATAACAACATACATGGGTATTGCTCCAAAACATACGCCTGACTGTGCTGTGACACCAAACCAGAATAATCCCGATGTCTTTTTCCATGATCGTTTAATGATATTTCCACTTACTACTCGAGCATAGCCACCTGAAAACGACGAAAGAAACCACACAAATGTTAATAACATACCACCCTGCATAGTATCAGACAACATTGGACATGGACTTTTGGACGCGATGTGGAGAATGAATATGCAAGCAATAAAAGAAACAAGTGTTCCGAAAATAATCCATTTAATTTTAAGTATTGGATATTTTAAACTAACAACACATGCTAATGGATAAGCTAAAGGATAGAAGACACTGCAATAATAAAATGATTTTTGTCCATAGGGTAAGAGTGAATAGGTGATAACTGAGGGCAAACAGCCGTACATGACAGTACAATTCAGCGCAGATACAATTAACAGGCAATAAAACTGTTGTTTTGATAGAGGATCCGACTTCTCTTGACTATTATCAGGTAAAAACACTTCATGGACACCGTTTTCCTTAACAATTTGTACTTGCTTCTAAATGAAACGAAAGAAAGCAAAATGAACCGAGATAAGATAAATATTACACGTACGGCACCCGCAGTGTCAACAATTGATGTACATCTCAAGATCGAAAACGCAATAAATGAGCACATAATAATCCCAGAGAGAAGAAAAAAGAATATTGATACACTAAATCGAGGTTCGGTATACACCGGTTCTACGATCACATCGAAGTGTTCAGTTATCGAATTATTTCTATGTTGCTCAATACACTTCACTTCACCACCGACTCCTTGTATCAGTGCAAGTATTGTTGGAATTGTAGCCGTAAAACTTTCACCAAAAAACATTGCATTCAAATATTGTGGCTGGAATCGTTTCATGTAATCGGCAAATATTAGACTTGATGAACAATCCAACAGTGCTAACGAGAAGGTAGCTGCTAACAATGCTACACTGCGCTCTGCGCCAAATATGTGTGCAGTAACTTTCCAGAAGAATCCGATCGCTATACAAGCAACTATGCCAACAATAATAATGATGTAAATATAGGGTATTTCTGTAAAGCGCTTATTCTGATAAAATTTCATTAAAATAATAAAGCATGGAAATATATTTGCTAAACAAACTATAACAAAATAAAGCATGATAGCAAAGTCTAAAGTTGATTGATATGTTCAACAGCTGTGCATACTTATTACACTTAATAAAGATGGAAGAGTCCATCCTTCAGGAGTTACTTGTATCATGAGAGGAAGCTGTATCCATACACCGTTTAAATCAATCCATGTTGAGAGATTAAGGATAATGATTAAAAAATATACAATTGATTTTGACCATCGCGAGTTAGAAATACTGAAACAGATAATTATTTACACGAGAAAAAACGATGAGTTTCTATTTTTGCAAAACTCACTAAACTTACCTTTGAGTCATTTGGTGCGGATCTGTTGCTGTTTATTTGATTTGAAATTACTGAATCGAAAAACAATTGGTTTCAACCTGAATGTTTTATTATTTTGTACAAAAACAGTTAATGATTCACTGATTATGCTACGTATTAAATAAGAGACGTACATAGATAAGCTAAAAATATGAAAAGTTTATCTTTCGTGTTACTTGATACTTATATAGACATTACACGACTCATTCCACTTGATGATGATATATAAAACTTTAACAAATTCTCATACACTTAGAAGGGAGTGGTCCGCATAAGGTTGATAATCAATTCATTTTAGTTTTTGCTTAAAATCTATTCCACAAGTAGTCCAAAAGTATTTTTATTCAATCTTACTTCTAGTTACAATATCCTGATATCTTTCCTTTTGCTGACAAGCTTCTGGCATGGTCATCCATGTGGTTACTAGTGATCAACTGCAGCTCTGGTCAGAAGGCTAACCTTCTAATTAGAACTTTTTTTCTACCAAGGGCTCGAGTTTGCCATAAACGTCCACTAACTACGTATTAGCTGTCCGAACAATCGCAAAATAAATGGAAAAACTGTATTATATGTCACAACGTAGTGAGTATGCTGTTTGACGGGATGATCCAAGACAAATGAACATAAAAAACTTGCCCAAGATTAATACGCGGCTTGATGGTGCTGAGGTTCGAACACAGTACTTCGGAGTACTTTACAATGGTATATGATACAAACTATACATGTTTCTTCGTTAGTGTAAAAAATAGTCAACATTGGCAACAAGTCACATTTCTCGTTACTTGGTCAACCTCTGACTCTCTTCCATTGACTGATCATCAGGACTGGGCGAGTTCGAGTGTGGACTGAAGGTTCCCTTTGAAGACTAGGATCGGACTCGGACTTGCATTTTATGTATTTCGGGTCCGATCAATTCAAGTTTTATGGTAAATGAACAGAAAATTTGCTGCATTGGTTGCGTGTTGATGTATTCGAAATCTGCTGGAAGTGTGGCTAGCGATTTAGGAAAAAGAAAACAACTGTTTCCTCATTTATCTAATCTTTCTTCATTAGGAGAGCGAAAACTGAAGCAATAACAATTTCTGTTTTAGAAAAAGTGAGAAATTTATACGAAAGACAGACATGCAAAGTAATTTTATTCTCGAAAATCGAATACCTATCCATACCTTAGTAAAGTAGCTAGAAAACGTTTTTGTATTCCAGTTACATCGGACTCATTGAGCGTATTTTTTCGTAATCAGGATTTTTTACTATACAAGAGAGAGCAAGTTTTACGAAAAAAATCAATCTCAACTGACATTGTTAATAAGTAACAAAAGTTTACTTTTCACCCCTCGAATTCTCTAGCCCTACTATAAAGTGGGTAACCACGTGGACATTAGAGAAATCTTGAACGTGCGCTTTTTCAAGGTTTGACGTTCGTCTAATATATTATTAAATATGGGCTATCTAACCGCATAAAATTTTCCTGTCGAAGCTAAAACACATAGTTTCGAGAAACATACATATTCTAAAACTAGACATTTCGCTCTATCATAGTTAAAAATAATTTGTTCTAGTGCTTTTGGCTTTATAAAAAACAGTTTTCTTTATACACTTAATAGTTTTCCGAAGAGGAGTGCTCGGTATATTCTCAAAAAAAGGTGCTGTTAACTTAAAAAGCGTTTCGAGAATTGAAACCATTTCTAGACCTTTTTTAGGTTCTGCACGAACAAGGATTCGTACGATACCTTTTCCCTGCTTTCAAAACAGGTTTCGTATGACCTCATAGAGATTTTGTAAGGATTTTATGTATGAATGTCCACGAAAGTGTGCGCACAGTTTAACACAGCTCCAAATTTCATCAAACTTTGTCAAGATATTCTTCTATGTATTGTACATGTATGATGTTAGTCCAAAATAGCCTAAATGGTTCTGGAGTGCGTTATGAGTTTTCCAAAAAACCCTTTGCTGTTCAAGGGAAATTCAATTTTCTCAGACTAGAAGCACTTTTATTAAAAACTAATAACATATTTGCATCAGCATGTAAACCTTCATCGAATGATGTACATATGAAGTATTTTGGAACAAAAAATGTTTCGATCTAGCGTAATACGACGGTTTTAGCGTATGGACACAGTAATTTTGACTTGGCACGTGGGCATGTGCTAGAAAAGTGGTGCAAAAGTCTCTAAATACTGTTTTTATAGGTTTTCATATGCTCTTTCCAGAGGAATGATTTTCAAACTTCCAACATATGTTCGTACAGGTTTTTCACAGACCGATCTCTGGAAAATCTGTAGAAACATACTTTGAAAATTTGAAAATCATCCCTCCGGAAAGAGCACATACGAAAACCTATAAAATGAGTGTTCAGAGACTTTCGTACCACTTTGTAGCGCATGTCAACGTGCCTAGCTAAAATTGCCCACTGTGTACTAGTGACAATGATCACGAAATCCTGAATATATCAACTTATAGCGAATTTCATAAGTTTCAAAATAAACGTGGCGGAAAAAAGAGTTGGAGAAGTTAGGACTGTCTACTTTGTTGTGTATAAGATTACTCTCGGTAACCAACTACCATCAAAATACAAAGGGTAACTCTTATTCTATTCACATTTTGCAGAAAATTTTCAGGGGTCGTCTAACCACATATTTACTTAGTCGTCTAGTAGAAGAAGTGTGAGAAAAACAACTTTTACGAATTATATATGTAACCTTGAGAGATCACCGACTGGTGCCTTACTAGCGGGGAGGGAAACCAGTCCTTTGCGTAAGCACAATTAATCAATTAAAATGAAAGAACAGTTTATAGTTCAAACACGATAATATGAAAATTTTGTTTCACAATTAACGACTATGTAAGCACGACATGTTTGTAAATGAACGGTTGAAATTAACCTTCTTAAAGTACAATTTTTCAAAAACGAATGTGCTAAAAAGAATAAGTAAGGAAAATATAGTTCCTATAGAAAGGAAGGAGTATCTCAATAACGGTATAACAAAATAGTGATGAAATCATCCTCGAGGTAAAAGCAGACCATATCGTATACAAAGCCTCTAAGCAGTTTATAAATAAACTGAGAAACAACAAAATTCGAGGTCACTAAATACCAGATCACTAAGATTTCTGTTCTACTATTTGGTTTTTAATGATACTTAAAAACGATTTAAAATTGACAAGAAAATACACATTTATTTATCAGAGTATAATTTATGAATAGGGCAGTGTTTAAAGAAACTAATAATGGAGAAAAATAAAGCGAGAATCTTTCAAAGTTCAAATAAATAAACCTAAAAGTCCTGTCAGGCGTGAAAGTAACACTTAGTGTACTGCCACATTTTGTGTTTGAATATAACTGTTCATAAATGGTAATAAATAAAAAATTATACTTCAAATTAGCGATAATTCATTAATAATGATGAAAATAAAATTGTCAGTATTAGATTAATTATACTAATCGTTGCTGAATATTTTGCACGCCCAAACGTCTCACCCATGTAGAATTTTCGCGCAGACTGTTTACATCGCACGTCATTAGTGAAAGTATCACAACCATACAAACCGCCTTGACAATTCACATTTGCTTGTTTCATTACATAATCCATAAACATACTCAATTGTTCAACATCATCTTTAACTTCCATAATGCTGCAATTTGTAATATGTTTACCAGCGCATTGGATATAATTATACGCTGCTTTACACCATAACATTTTTTCATTCACACTCCACGTACTTTCAAATTTTGAACGTTCATCTAAAATTTCGTTACACTCTTTGGCAGCCTAAAAGTAGACGTCAATACAATAAGAAACAACTTCAATGGGAATAATGGAAAAACTAACCTCTTCAACTTCACAAGCTGGCATGGCTGTCGTTGTAATACCCGTTGTTGTTGTTGTCTTTTGAGTTGGTTGTGTAGTTGTTCGACACTTGTAATTGATGATAGTACTTTCACCTAAACCAGCACAATATTTACCTAATCTCCATGCCTTGAAAAAAAAACGAATCAAATATGATTACTGTCAGAATTCGCCATCATCTTATCAAATTTATTTACATTTCGTTGTAATCCGACTTCGAATGCTGCCAAAGCTCCGGTATGTTCACTTCTTAAATCGCAGCAATGTAATCGTTCATTGATACAATCGGCATACTTTTTTCCCTGTTCACAATAAGCAAATAACTGATCACGTGTATATAAATCTGATTTCATATTTTCTTCATCTTCAACGGATGGTGCTTGTGGACAATCGGATGCTTTCCAAATATTACAAGAATAAGAATAATCAACAATAATTATAATCAACAATACAAAAATACGTTTCATCACTGACGTCCGCGTTTTAATTTAATAATAATGAGCGAAGAAATTAATGGTGGTGGCTGTTTCATCCTGCTACATAAAATGATTAAAACTAAATACACAACACACTACCCATAGTCACTTAGCATTGAGAGAGAGAGAGAAATAAACGAAAAGTTAAAATGTAGGTGTCACGTACTTAATTAAAACATAGATCAAATATTTTTATGTTTAATCCATTGTTTGACTTTATCCTTTATCTCCGAAAAGTTATGTAATAATAGATTGTATGTAATCGAAGTTATTTGAGTCGAGTTTTAAATATTTGAATTAGTTGGTTTTCTGGAAGAAATATCTCTACTGTCCAGTTTTACTAAAATTAACAACACAGCTCTTCTAAGTGAACCTATTGTGCAACATTGTTTGAATAATATGTATGATTTATTTAATTGAAAATGACATTTGTTTTTGATGTACACAAAATTTCGACGATTAATGTAAACAAAAAAAATCGTTCATAATAACTGCACGTTATCTATTTGTTCTTTCCGTATTGTAATGATGAATGTAAAACAACATTTTCTTAAACGTTAAAAATCTGGTATAAGTAGGTATATAATTAAAATAGAGGTAACTTTTTAACTGATGTATTTTATGTTCAGAAGCTGATGAAAAACTGACAGTGTCAAAGATGACAAGGAAAAACGAACTTTTTCATATGCTCAGATCCTCCTCATTCATATATTAGTATTTCAAATTCCTCATATAAATTGCCGCCTGCAGTCGCACCACTGCTAGTCGCACTACTGCAGTTGAGCCACTGCTAGTAAGGTTTTTTTATGGTCGCAATGACATACTAATTCCTGAAACATGCCCATTTCGAGATTATATTTCTCTCACGAGTCTCTTTACTGAAAATCGGACTTATCTTAGCCAGTTTACTCTACAGGACTGATTCGACTCAAACAGTCTTTGATCAACTTCGTCAATATTTCCTAGATACGTTCTCATCCGTTGTGAAAAACAAGAGCTTTGATGGATTTTTATCTGTGAGTGACTATAATGCTCATTTTGAGAAGTAGATCACGGACAAAACTATACCCATGCTCCAATCGATTGTGAAAGGGGCAAATCTAGTTGAAGTTCTGAATACACTAAGTCTCCATCAACTGATAACAAAAACTACACGCCAAGTTTCAAACACATGTCTAGATCTTGTTATAACTGATAACATTAATATTATGCAACTAGTTGAAGTTGGATCGCCTCTATGTTCACGATGCGATCATTCGATTATTAAGGTAAAATTTAATACTTTCGTTTATAAAACTACTCCAATTAAACGAACCATTTACCACTACAATGCGATTGACTGAGGGCACTATTGCTTTCTTCTCTCAAAAAACTTAGGTGATTCATCTGATGCGTATACCTATAGATGTCCTGTTGACGTACGGTTAAACGGTTTAACCAGACTAATCTTGACAACCGTAAAAACCTGTATTTCCCCGAAAAAAATAACTGCACGCCAACGAGATGAACCATGGCTCACAGAAGAGTTGAGAATGTTGTATAAAAAAGGCAATAAACTATATCTCAGACGCAACCAGTCGACTCAAGCATCTAAAGTTGTGCATATATCTCCTCATCCAAAATATTCTCGGACGTGTGTCAATATTCAGATGGGATCTCATGGACGATGGAAATCAAGACCGCGATGGGAAGGAAAGCTAATTTGAATATTCCGAGTGAAAAATGAAAAGGAGAGTGAATTCATGATAACAAAGGAAAAGCTGAACTTTTAAACTCTTATTTCTCTTCGTTGTGTACGATCTTATCCCAAGAAGAAGAAAAAATATCGCAAAAATCAGTCCTTTTAAGGCTTGCAGCAAAGTTGTAACTGGTTTGGAAATACTAGACCGGTCCGGTCCGGTCGGGTCAGTCACCGGCCGGTCTAAAAATATTCCCAGACCGGTAAAAACCGGCGAGTTCATCAAGTTTTTTCAAGTAATAACATTGATATTAGGGACAAAATTTTGTTCTGAATACCGACAGATTTTTACGCCTGTATTTTCTGTAATGCTTATACTGGAATTCTAATACCAAAAAACCAACCAATATTTTCAAGATTGAGTTTCTTCTGCATAAGATAAGGTTCCTTCCCACAAAACGAAACGTCACGAATAATTTGAAAATAAATTTGGGAAGAGATTCACTATGTCAAATAACAAAGCCAATTAAGACGAATTTGGGTTAGGAAGCTACGGTATCGGCATATCGAAAGTAAAAAATTAGA